GTCGTGCGATACAAAGAGTAAATGTGAAATGTTACCAACAGAAATTGCTGGTATAAATCTCACAGACTCAACCTCTGCAATACATTCCTTGTCCTTGTTTAAGTACAGGACGAAATGAGAGCAACCCAATCTATAAAATGTACAAATTTAATACTATTTACCTTATACATGTTTATAGCATATCCACAGCTTATTTAATATTTTTTCAAAAAAATAAAGTCATTGTTTTAATTTCTTGATAATAACGACATTCAAGTGGTCTTGACTTAATTGACATTTCTTTACTCAAAATTCCATCGAATTTTGATATACAGTGTTGAATTAATTGATATGTAGTTCCTACATCTTGTCAAGGAACCGCTTACATATCTGGGCACATCTTGGATCTCGTTCCAAGTAAATATCTGGGGTGACTTTGAAATACCTTAAACTATAACTAGCTTATATGGAGAACCCCCAATGAAAGAAAAGAGTGGAAGAGAGTTAAGCTCCCAACCGTGGTGCGCCCAACCTTCGTTAAGGCTTCTTGGCAAACCTCTTTGGTCTTTGGACCTAGGTTACTGTACTCACTCAAAAGGTTTTGCGGCTTCCGTTTCTCTACCTAAAAAATAGATTAACATTAGTTTCGTAGTGGTACTAAAATATGACTTTAATAAATCCATAATTTATTACCACAACAAAGTATAATTTATCTGTAAGTTTTTTTTTTAGCGAATTTCCCATATAGGGAATTTAAGCTATTACCGTAGGTCTCATGGTAAGACCTAGACCCGGGACCGATTTACTTTTTCGTTTTGAGGTCCCCAGAGGCCAAAAACACCATCCGTTCAAATTCATATATATATATATATATATATATTTATATATATATATATATATATATATATATATATATTTATATATGTGTCCGTTAGCGCGATAACTCGAGCAAAATTGATCCGATTTTGATGAAATTTGGTACAAACGTGTAAACCTACATTTATTCGAACGAGTTCGCGAACCAGCATAATCGGACCATGGCATCAGGGGTTTATGGGGGGTTTTATGGGGTCAAAATGGGTTTTTCTAATTTTTGACCCTAAAAACTTTAAATTTCTAAATTTCTCTCTAGACCATTTTGAAGAGCTTAAAAAAACAAATAATTTAGTATATTGAAGTGTTTTTTAATGTTCATTGACTACGGAGAAAATTTAAAAAATTGTAAATTTAAAATTCCCATGTTATTCTTATGGAGAATAAATAAACTGTTCTAGTTTGCTTGTTTATGGATATATTTTAATCAAATTTGGCAATTTGGTTTATTTCATAGTAAGCTATCAATATTTCAATTGAAAAAACACACCTCAACATCTTCCCCGTAGCAGCAAACCTAACTACTAACTAAAATTAATGTTATTTAAATAGGAAATAAATCTGAAAATTTATAGGGAATATTTTAGTAGAAATCATGCCGGGTAAATGGAAATTCGCTTAGTATGCAGGTTTGCTGCGACGGGGGTATATAAATATGTTATAATGCTTAACCTCCCTCCATATCCCACACCTAGATGGTTTATTCTAAGCCCAAATGTTGTTTTAATTTGTTTTTGGCTATCATTATACTACCTTATAAAATGATGATGCTACGTGTTGAGACTTGTCTTTCGACTGTTGCCTAGCTTAATTTAGTAAACATACATAATAATATACATAATTAATATAATTAATATACATAGCTCAACATTTCAAGGGACGATGGTTTTAAAACTTCACTTTAGAAATGATACCGTAAACATCAACAACTTATAATTTCATTTCATCCCGCAACTAACATGATTGGTACAATTTCCATGATAAAGCGTTTTTACTTCTAAAGAGGTAGAATTAATTAAGTTACCCTGTTGTATTCCTTCACGTAAAGTGTTTTCATTTAAACTTTAGGTCTGCTACAAACGACAAAATATGCTTTGTGAGTTTCCTGACAGTGTTTGAACAGTTTTAAGCCAATATAAAAAGGAACTCTATTTTTGTATACAATGTATTGTAACAATATTAAAGTTAGGTAACTTAAAGGGACAGCACCTAAAAAGGTTCAGCAGTATTATCAATATTTTTTAAAGGACAGAATAGCCACTTTAGAAACAAGATATCAAAAATTCTTCATAAGTAGGTTAGTATCGATGTATGTGGTTAAGGAACTTTGTTTAATGTTAAAGTAACGTTCTAGATGAGTATTTCACCCTAAATTATTTTACCTACGACCGTTTTTTAAAGTAGCCGTTTCAATACAGTTCTTAGAATAGAATAGTATCTGATAACAGCATTGTTTACTTTCATAACAGCATAGTTTTACTCATAACAACACGGGTAACGGACCAATGAGGTTCAAGGATTGAGAGAGGAGAAGAAAAATTGTAATGATTCGAAATTCAACTAATCAGCTGTTCAGGCCGATTTAATTGTTGATTGGTGCGATTAGTGAATTAGTGTTTGATTCCTTGGTTCACTGTCAGTGGCAATGAGAGATTATACACAAAAACATAACCTCTCTTAGAAGTTATGAGTAGTGATTTTTTGTAATTAAAACACCGTCGTAGGTAAAATAGTGTACGCAACTCGCGTAAATAGTGTTAACGACACTCGTAGAAGTTTTTTAGGCACTTGCCAAGGCTCGTACCTTAAATTATCTACTCGTGTCGTTAACACTATCTTTACGCAATCGTTGCGTAAACTACTATTACAGTAAAATGTTGCGTCTAAAAAGGTCTAATTAGATTTAATAATATTTTCTTTGTTTTAAGCTTATTACAACAATTTGCTAACCACTTTTTATTGTAAAGAAAACTACACCATTCACATTTCGCGGATTTGCCGGGAATCAAAATGTTCTTTTCCGTTTGGAAGCAATATCAGTCTTCATTTATTCATTTATTCATTCCGATTCATCGCCATTTTACAAAATAATACATTAGACAAGATTTACATACAACAAGATAATACAATAGAAAACATCAATAAATGAGTAAGAAGTTTTGTGGTGGTGGTGAACAGTTTGAGTGAATGCAATTGAGACTTGTCTTTCGACTGTTGCCTAGCTTAATTTAGTAAACATACATAATAATATACATAATTAATATAATTAATATACATAGCTCAACATTTCAAGGGACGATGGTTTTAAAACTTCACTTTAGAAATGATACCGTAAACATCAACAACTTATAATTTCATTTCATCCCGCAACTAACATGATTGGTACAATTTCCATGATAAAGCGTTTTTACTTCTAAAGAGGTAGAATTAATTAAGTTACCCTGTTGTATTCCTTCACGTAAAGTGTTTTCATTTAAACTTTAGGTCTGCTACAAACGACAAAATATGCTTTGTGAGTTTCCTGACAGTGTTTGAACAGTTTTAAGCCAATATAAAAAGGAACTCTATTTTTGTATACAATGTATTGTAAAAATATTAAAGTTAGGTAACTTAAAGAGACAGCACCTAAAAAGGTTCAGCAGTATTATCAATATTTTTTAAAGGACAGAATAGCCACTTTAGAAACAAGATATCAAAAATTCTTCATAAGTAGGTTAGTATCGATGTATGTGGTTAAGGAACTTTGTTTAATGTTAAAGTAACGTTCTAGATGAGTATTTCACCCTAAATTATTTTACCTACGACCGTTTTTTAAAGTAGCCGTTTCAATACAGTTCTTAGAATAGAATATTATCTGATAACAGCATTGTTTACTTTCATAACAGCATAGTTTTACTCATAACAACACGGGTAACGGACCAATGAAGTTCAAGGATTGAGAGAGGAGAAGAAAAATTGTAATGATTCGAAATTCAACTAATCAGCTGTTCAGGCCGATTTAATTGTTGATTGGTGCGATTAGTGAATTAGTGTTTGATTCCTTGGTTCACTGTCAGTGGCAATGAGAGATTATACACAAAAACATAACCTCTCTTAGAAGTTATGAGTAGTGATTTTTTGTAATTAAAACACCGTCGTAGGTAAAATAGTGTACGCAACTCGCATAAATAGTGTTAACGACACTCGTAGAAGTTTTTTAGGCACTTGCCAAGGCTCGTACCTTAAATTATCTACTCGTGTCGTTAACACTATCTTTACGCAATCGTTGCGTAAACTACTATTACAGTAAAATGTTGTGTCTAAAAAGGTCTAATTAGATTTAATAATATTTTCTTTGTTTTAAGCTTATTACAACAATTTGCTAACCACTTTTTATTGTAAAGAAAACTACACCATTCACATTTCGCGGATTTGCCGGGAATCAAAATGTTCTTTTCCGTTTGGAAGCAATATCAGTCTTCATTTATTCATTTATTCATTCCGATTCATCGCCATTTTACAAAATAATACATTAGACAAGATTTACATACAACAAGATAATACAATAGAAAACATCAATAAATGAGTAAGAAGTTTAGTGGTGGTGGTGGACAGTTTGAGTGAATTGCAACAGTTACAACATTGTGGAAAAAGTAACAATAACAAGAAACAGTGTAAATAATTAACATCAATAACAATAACAAGAAGAATTGTGAATAATAAACATCAATAACAATAACAAGAAACAGTGTAAATAATTAACTTCAATAACAATAAGTGTGAATATTTAACATCAATAACAATCAGTAACCATCAAAATGACAACATTGTGGATAATTAACATTAATAAATTTACTATACATAACAATAATAGACTATGGCAATGATAACAATATAATAAACTGTGAAAGAGCTAACGTAACATAAAAACAAAACTATATAACAAAAGGATGGATCTGGAGGGAGAAAAAAAAAGCTTTTTGATAGAATGCTGACAAGACATTTCATCACTTGGCACTGTTGAGCGGGTGGCCCTCTAAAGGCACCACCAAGGAACTCCAAGAGCACAAATCGCATCACTCGACACAAATCAGCACTTCCCGGCACCCAGCATGTGGCCCTTTAGAGGCACCACCAAATAACCAACACTGATAGAGAGCGGAGAGGTGTCAGTAGAGCAACCTCTGGACATCACGTCTGAAGGATGCTGGTGATGGCCCAAAGAAATCCAAGTGTGGGCAGAGGTCTTCGCTAAATCTCAGCAGTCTGGAGATTCCGTGGTGAAGGGTATAGTTCGTGGGCTGATACCTCCTTCTGAAGACAGCTCTGGATCGGGTTCCTCTGGGAGCGTTAAAGTCCACTTCGTTCAAGAGTTCGGGACAGTCAATGATCCCATTTGCCACTTTGAAAAGGAATACAATGTCGTTGACTTGTCGTCTCAGGGGAAGTGGCTGAAGGCCAAAGTGCACCTCGAGAGCTGCTACAGGAACGTCGAGGAAAGGAAACCCGAGTTTCAGACCCAGTAGTTTAAGAAATCGTGTTTGAATCCTGTTTAAGATTTCAATATGGCCAGTTTGATAAGGATTCCAGATGACAGAGCAGTACTCTAAGATTGGTCGGGCCAGGGATTTGTATAGCGTGACGAGTGCCATGGGAGATTTGAAAGATCTTGTGGAGCGATGGATAAACCCCAACAGAGAAGAGACTCTTGAGGATATATGGATCAGATGATCTTGTGGGCTGAGTGAAGGGACAGTGATTACACCAAGATCTCTGAATTTCTCGACCACGCTGAGACTTCTGCCATCGATGCAATAGTCATACTCATGAACTAAGCTACTGCGACCGAGAAACATAACTACACATTTGGAGACATTGAGCTCCATTGCATTTGATAAGCACCATTTGCTGATGTTGTTAATCGAGTGTTGAAGCATTTCTTGGTCATGTGTGGAGGTTACTTTGTTGAACACCCTAATGTCATCAGCAAATAAGAGAAATTTAGTTTTAATTTCTGGGCAGATGTCGTTAATGAATAAATTAAACAGCAGTGGACCAAGATGAGAACCCTGGGGCACTCCAGAAGTGGCAGTGAAGGGACGGGATTGCTCTCCATCACACCTAACAACGAGGATGCGGTCAGTGAGGTAACTTTTCAGCCAGGAGAGTTTAATGGGCCACAGATTCCATAGCCCTCAAGTTTAGCAATCAATGATGGTCTATTCTGTCGAAGGCTTTGCTAAAATCCAGAAAGACACAATCTACTTGGGAGTGCTCGGTAAATGCTGACATGATTAGATTGTGAAAAACGAGGAGGTTTGTACAAGAGGAGCGACCCTGGATGAAGCCATGTTGTTCTGGAGCAATAAATCTACCAAGTTGAAAGCTCAAACAGTCAAGGATAAGACTTTCATAAATTTTGGACAGGGCAGACTGAATGGCAATTGGTCTATAGTTTTTTATGTTGTTTTTGCAACCTGATTAAATAGGAACAACAAAACTATGCTTCAGCACCGTCGGAAAAGTTCCCATATCGTTCGGAAAAGTCTTAGCAACACATATAATTTTCTACAACTAGAAAAGTGTTTTAATATTAGCAAATTGATAAATAATCTATCAATGCACCTTTTTTCGTCCATAACATAGCCTCAACTCCTCTAACATTAAAACTTACAGAACGCAACAAACAACGTTGGTTCACAGTCTATAAAGTGCGAGTGTTGAGTAGGTGGAGCGTACGTGATGAAAAATATAAACTTCTATTACAATTCTACCTCATATACAAGATTTATTACTGTAGAATCAGTAATACAAACATATTTTTAACATATAAAGCCGAAAGTTTATGATATTTTTTCTTCAAACAGAAATACGTAGTAATTTTAATAGTTTGTAAAATTATACAAATAAAAAAGGTAAATGTTTATCATTTGTTTAAGTTATCATTTCCAACAGATGACGACATGAGTTTCCTCTTCTACTTAAGTTATTGCATACAATCTGTTTCAAATGTGTTTTAAATCATTGTTACAAACTATACTGTAAAACCATACTAAAAGCTGTGGTAATTTCATTGTTACGGCACAAGCATGTAGGAGAGATGTATTGAGTTCTGCCTAAACTCTACAAACTAGCTCCTCAAACTGTAATGTAGTCATCTGTCCCTAGATCTATAGTGCCAAGTTTAGACACTAGAAACAACTATATTAACTCCGTTCTATTTTGATATGGGTTTTCCGGAAACGTTAAGTTAAATTTAAAATTATCTTTGCATTTAAAGTTATAAAATCGGCGTATGGTAAATGTTTGATACCGATACAGGTTGTAATCAAAATTTTAAGTCCAACAATACATATCATAGAACATATATGTACATATATCGTCTTAATTGCAGCCTGCTAGTATGACATTTTAAGTCATTTATAAGAAATTTGAGAGGATTTTAATCTCATACATTCATCTACTACGGTATTTTACACTCGTTAAAGATCAATTGAAAAAAGGTGTGAAAGTAATTTTAACTGCGTTAAGGATTCGAATGGTATAATGGACGATGAATAATGTATAGAAACTTAGTCGAGTGCAACGACAAAGAAAAGGCGAGGGTCAATAATAAGTGTATGCTACTACCCACTGTATGGTTTTTGTGTGTACCTGTTAATAAAAGGGTTTTGGTTAGCTGTGTAAAAATAGTTTTATAGAACTACAGGTTTGCAGCAAGAAACGCAACAACAGATTGGTAAATGAGTAGTCGTATTGTGGTTTATGATATACATTTTACAATTGGAAAACTAAATTCAAAACACTGGAGAATGTATTTTCATTACCTATTTAAGACTCAATCATATATTTTAAGTCATAACGTTCATTAATTAGTCTATTTGATTTAGCCTTACAATTAAAGGTTTTACCAAATGTCAAAATATTATTGATTTTGATTGGGTTTTAGGTGTTTTATTGCGCAAAGCGAGACATAAAAATGTCCTTTTGAAAGTTGGCCCACAGTCCATAAACTGTAAAAGTTAAGTGTGGTGTTCATGAAAAACAGGAACCAGTGTTTCATCACTACTTCTGCCTGAAAAACAGGGCTGAATCTGCAACTAAAGTAATGAAAACTAAATAATAGATATCAAGTGATTATCATATAAATGACAATGTAAATCAGGTTTACTAAGTACATACAGGATAATTAAATTATGTTTTACACCAAATGTTTGGTGCTAGTTTGTCACGTAGTTTTAGACATTTAATTATATTTTCTGTTATATCCAGTTTAAGTCCTATGTTGAAGCTTTATTCTTCAGTACTGTATTATTCATAATTTTTGTATCATCTTACCCGGCACTTATGGTTACTTATGGTTATGGGCACTTGTTATGACACGGTGGTTGTTTGTATATCAAGTATTATAAAATTTTATTTATCAGCATATTTTAAGTACTATATTTATTTATTTCAAAGTTTTCGGTGGTAGAAATGATATAAGTCTTACAAACGGTAAAGCAAAAGTTGGAAAGTACCATTCAACTTTTATAACTATACTTCTCGCTAACGCTTACTTAGAACTTTCGTCTAGAATTGAATTTTAAATCCTATATTATAATCGGAACAAATATATACATACACTATGCATTATTCTTTGGACTAAAAACATTACTTTTCAAATCATGGTAGAATAGTCACGACATTAAGAATATTTAAATATAATATTATTTTATTTCCTAAATACTACATGGCAGTGTAGGAATTAAATACACTTTTTTAGTGTATTAGTAGTATTTATAATAACAAAAGTATATGATTAACAAAGTGAATACTACACCTACAGAATTAATTCTTGTACAGTTTATTATAAATGTACCAGCTACTTTATAGAGTGTTTGAATTTAGGCATAACAAGACATAATGCATGCATAGTTTTGCAATAGAAGCGTTCTTTTATGTTTTGTGAATATTTTTCGGTGGGGTATAAGAATACTCTAAAAACAAACACCGGTCACAAACTGACTCACCTTGGCACAAAACAGTTGTACAAAATGGACTTTATTATGTTCCGTATACATATTGTGGCATAAATTTCTAGGGCCACAGTAAAATAAGTCTCAATAATCTATGCAAATAAAAAAAATATTTAGAAGATATTCTAACTGGATAAAAGAAAAGGTTTACAAGTTTACAAAGAAAACGTAGCAAACACTGGAAGCCGCTCACGTTTGTTGATTTAAGACAGTAACAGCATTGCGGGTTATTTGATTACCTAGTTTTCTCCCGCGCTGCTGCTGTAGTCCAGTTGTTGGTAAATGGGAGTAACGTTGCTGCAATCTGAAAGAAACTTTACGCAGTTTTTGCTATGTTTTCCACGTTTATATTTGTTATACTAAGCAAAGAAGCCTTGGCTTAAAAAAAAAGAACTAACTACTCAGTCTGAATGCTCTGGTCAATGTGCAAAACAATTATTTATAAAGCATTCGAAGGATTTACGATACTAATTGAAGTTTAATTCTACTTCTGAAAAAGAATAGTTTCATTTTTTGGCCAATAAGCAGCAGTTCCAACAGTTGCAAAAAATGGTGTTACGTATTTTGGAGTACCGCTTTCAAACACATACGTCTAGGAAATATATATAATCTGTTTAAGTAACTTCATTGGGGATTCTAATTCAATAGACAAATTGTCTCCTGTATTACTAAAATTTTATAAAATAATAGTTACAGTAAGACTATTTTAAGAGTCTAGAATAATTACAGGTACATTTATTACAATAGTAGTTTCAACAAAAGCGTGTAGCCACGATAAAAGAGGAGTTTTCAGATGAATGAACGCGTGGCTCAGTAAAAACAGAGACCGTTTTTGTGGCTTTATCCTGTTGTCAGTAGTTCCTTGGACAGCATTCGTATTAGTGGAATTTTACGTTAAATGTGGGTTGATTTTCTTTATAAAATATTAAATAATCTATAACTTAGTTACGGTTATCTTTGGTCTTAGCAACGTCCTTATAACAGTAAAAACAGTACTTAAAGTTCCTTTTACTTTAAGGAATCAAACAGTAGTAATTATGAAACCAAAAATGAATCAAATTGTAAACTAACCAGTTTATGTAAATTATGTTCTTTCAAAGCATTACATTGAATGTTTAAAGGTCTAAACTACCTTGAATGTTTGATAACCATACAAGATCAGATTGGATTTAAGTCTTACTGTCCTTATTTTATGCACCTGGTGTAGTAATTCTATCACACAATGTGGTTATTTATCAACACTATCAAACCCTATACACAAAGTACACATTGTAGTTAGTTTTAGTCATGAATATAAAAGGTAGGTCCTTCATTCGTGTATAGCTGTTGAGCTTAATGCGATTTTTAAAAATGTATTATTAGTTATAAAAATGACACTTATCATGGTGATAAACAGGCAAATTAACACACTTTTGGCTACAAATTAATACAAGAGTAAATTGCAACAGTATGAGAACGCAAACGTCAACACATCAGAGGTGGAGCAAAGCCGACCACAAACAAGCTATTGTTGTGGTTATGTTACCTCACCATAACATGACTTGACACACTGAATACTTGTGTTCTCTTCAAATATATACTACAAAGCTGAGATTGTTCCCAACGCATCAGAGGTGGAGCAAAGCCGACCACAAACAAGCTATTGTTGTGGTTATGTTACCTCAACATAACATGACTTGACACACTGATTACTTGCTTGTGTTCTCTACAAATATATACTACAAAGCTGAGATTGTTCCCAACACATCAGAGGTGGAGCAAAGCCGACCACAAACAAGCTATTGTCGTGGTTATGTTACCTCAACATAACATGACTTGACACACTGATTACTTGCTTGTATTCTCTACAAATATATACTACAAAGCTG